ATTTGGCTAGGATTAGTGTGATTACTGGAAAGCAGACCTGTGTGCATTTTTTTATGCAGCCTTAACATTACCCACGGAACAATAACTTAAATTTTTTCAAAGGAATTATTTTGTCTCCTTTTTTAAGGGGGGGGATGTTATAGGCACTAATGTACAATGAATTAAACCTAAATACACTGTATTTACATGCAGATTTGGGAGAAGTAATAAGAAAGTAGTGGATGTATTGAAAAATCTTAATTGCAGATACACAACATGAAGCACTAAATTGGAGAAATCATCATGTACATGTATCACTGTATGGGTTTATCCTGCAATGCACATGTATACAGTGTACATGTACCACAAGCTCAGACTGATCCAAGTGTTTATTCAGAAATGGCCTACAGCAACATTCTTATAATGTGCCGCCCAAATATGGACAGATTCCAAGATTCACATTCAATCCACATTTGCCAACTGGAAGACCTTTTCAGGACAACACGTTCACTTATTTTACTTGGCATATGTTTTGTGCAGTATGTATAGTTTCAAGAATTTCATATCAACAAAAATATCTGAGAGAATAAAAAGTTAAATCTTAAAATTAATGTGGCCTGACGTTGCGAACTTAGCAAGTTCTACTTCTAGTATGAATTCCATTCACCACAAAACAATATCTTACTAAAGTAGAGAATATTATTCCATTTTCTTAACATACATACATATGTTGTACAGATCAATGAAAACAAAATAAAACACTCATCCAAAGCTACCCCTTAACCCTAACCGCCCTGAATCCTCCAAAATAAAATTGGAGGAATTTTCAGGATTGAGGTTACATGGCAAAAGTGGGTTGCTGATTTCGAAGTATGCACTGTGTCAAGGTCTTGGGCCGGACCTTGTGTTGTTTATGCTCAGCCGTGCATAAATTTAGCCCTTGATTATACTTGACATCCTCCGCACTGCTCCAGGATGTCACTGCCTCTGCCTCAGCCTATTGACAGTCATAGCCGGAGGATTTTGCAGGATTCAGGCAGTGGTCACCCCTCCATGGACAATATTCAAGAAATAGCGGAGGAATTTGCAGGATTGAGGCTATATGCTATTTTTCCATGAGGCCAATTGGAGGATTTTGCAGGATTGAGGCTACATCCTAGCAAAAAGGCCTAGGGAGTTAGGGTTAAGAGTTGAAATACATGTAGGCTGATTGTTCACTTGTTCATTGCTAATAAACTAAACAGTTCTTCTTTCTCAAACGTTATGGGCAGTCAATTTGGATGCAAATTTGTACCAGAACCACTGCTTGAAATGGGTACTCGTGAGTACATGTTTATACACATTTGTAAATTAATTTTCAAATTGTATATGGACAAAAATGTTTTCAGTGTATCTGAAATGCAATGCGTGAACACTGATCACATCTATATAAAGTAGGGAACATGACTAATCGCCGGATTCCAAAGTCTGTTTGTATTGAGCATTATGAGATAACAGTAGACTGTGGATTGTAGTAGACGCTAGACAATTTCTATGAAATGCGCGCTTATTGCAAGAGTTTGGCACGCTGCCATGGCCCAGCCCACCCGAGCTTGAAATTAATAATAGCTCAATACCCAAACTAAATGTAACCTATGATTCGTCTGTGAATAAGCACCATTCCTTTTATGCCAGCCAGATATAGCGTAAATCCACAAATATTTAAGAACTGCTGACTGCTGTGATGTGGGGCATGGCGTCCCCCCACTACTGCACCCAAGGTAAAGCCAAGGGTGCCAGGCTATCTCAAGGGCATACAAGAACATGTCCCACATAACAGCAGTTAACAATTGTTTTGTGACATCTTGCCACTCAGTTAGAAAGAAACAAATATGTGACTTCCTCTGCAAGACCTCAATTTAATCACCGAGAGCGTAATTGTAATCCTTACGCTTTCCTGCTTGACACTAAATGCTGCGTTGCGTGCTGGGCAGCCATTCGAATCTGATGTGCTATGCCCTGCCCTGTACCAATGTGATGAAAATAGCATGCTAGACAGTAGACACTGGTTTTTAATAACAAGACTGTTCCAGACCAATGAAGATACAGTGTGGGAGACATGATGATTTCACAACGATGTTATTTTTTGTACAGAATTTAGACTTCAAGCTCAAGTTCACTTCAGGGAAGTACGTAAATTGGGAAATTTCAGGTCTGCAGCACATTACAAATTAAAAATCCCATGTGCAACTCACATCACAACCGATGAAGTCATACTGTGCAAAAAACAACTTAATTAATCACAGATAAAACGTAATATTCTTCATCAATAGAGAAGTCTACATACCAACATGACACAGATGAAATACGACCTTCGTTATTCACCATATAAAAATCATCCCTACAATGAGGTTTCCAGCGGAACCATTTTGTCGTAAATTCTCAGCCGACCATTCACATAAAACGCCAGCTATAACTCTAAGCTCCGATGATGAGTGGTTATGTCATTTGATATTCCTCCATCATCCTGCCTCCTCCTAGCAACACGAATTATCCTAACGATGAGATGTTGCCATCGATGCCTCTGCAGGGCTCAAGGGGTAATCCCTGGCTCCGCAGTGTGGGAGCCAGGCAAAGCTCTCTGCAATGTTTCCATACAGAAGGAGGGAAGGTTTTCAATTTACTGCGAGACTATACTTGTGGTTTAGTCCGGCCCTTCCCAATTTCCCATCAAACTTTCAGTACTGCACAACTGCTTTATTCAGGATAATATTCCTGCCTAAATACTCCAGCTGGAAAATGGCATGATCAATGCACAAATGCTGGAGTGCACGCTGAAAATGTATGTACATGTACATAAATACTTGTAAGTTGTATTGTGCCATAAAGAATGTCCTTTCTCTATGCCTGTACTCTGCATGTGAAGTTTCCATTTCAATTTAAAGTATGAGAAAACTATGTAAATGTACTCATGGGAAAAGGTTTCTTGACATTTTATGGTCCCGTAAATGATTTAAAAATCGAGGTTTAAAACAAAATCTGGTTATCTAATTCTATATAAAGCATACCTAGGTTTCAATGATGACATTTTGAATTTTGGAACCTGATCGTGAGACTTGATGTTTGCATGATTATTATGACGCAATTCTTCTAACATGGCAGACATTAGAAAGTTAATGTAAAAATGTTGCCACAGAATTTAGTTCAGAGGAGCTTCTACTTTAATTTCCGTCAAATTTCGGATCATTCTGAAGGGGTTACTACTTTGTGAATATTTGTTCATCAATTTGTTTTTATTTTGAGAGAATTTTGAGTAATTTTGAAAATTCCAATAGGCCTATTGGTCAATTTTTTTTTTCAAACAAAAAGTCATTTTTAACATGCCTTTTTATGGCCTTAACATCACCTTTTAAGTACAAACATGTACATTATAACATGCATGCGCACTTACGATCCGGACATGAGAAGTGCCCATAGCGTCGGTGCGATACCAAATTATCCGCAGCATTTATCACATGGCCTCGTGATTGGCCCGTCTGACGCCGCCCGCAATATTGCACTACAAAGACAGTGTCTGTGGTCGGTTTCCAGACCAAAAAAAGACTCTGACGTCTAACCAAGTTTGGGCGCGTGCACGTAAAAACGTTAAAAGGGGATTGTTTTCATCATTCTTTTTGCACCATCGGGATCGATTCAACCCTGATCTTTGTAAGCGAAATGAACGTGTATGTCAAGAAGTACTGGGCATTGTCTGGGGGTACAAATATACAGCTCAAGTTCACTTCCATTATTAATATTCGTGGAGTACCTATACAGCATGCTCATGCTGATATGGCTACATTACGTGTAATACCCATAGTTCTGGGATAGCCCAAGTGGACTCCCTTTCCTCCTTACGTTACGGAAGGAGTCCAGGATATGAAGTGCTCAAAACCGGGCAAAAAAAATTATGACCAATATTTTCAATATTTTTACCTTGTTGGAGAAGCTAATTTTTACGCCTTAGTATTCTATGTGTCCTTATCTATTGATCCGCGGGGTTCAGGAATTTCATATGCGATGCTGACTGACGTTAATCAGGAAAATAAACTCTAAAGCAACGTCAAACTTGTACGTGTTTGTAGACTCATTTCATCAGTTTCTCACACGTACCGACAATGACCGAGTCTAGTCGTACATGGCGTACGGCCGTGGAACGTGAACGCGCAGTGTGCACGCGCGATTTGCTTAGTAACCGCCCTCATATGCATGCGCACTAACTTGTAGGCTCGGTCGCCTATCCAATGACTGAGTGTGTTTTTGTGACAATTACCAGAAACATGTTTCGGCTTTGGTCATTGGTTGAGCGATTTGTGACTTCGGTTGGCTGGAGTGACGTCACTGTTCCAACCAAAACTAAGCAAAGGAGGGCGCTAGCGTGCGTGTGCGCTTTTGTACACACATACATGACGTACAACTCGGTGATAAACTGATGAAAAGAGACTACAAAAAGTACAAGTTTAACGTTGCTTTTGAGTTTACTTCCCTGATTAACGTCGGTCAGCATCACATATGGAATTCCTGAACCCCCAGATCAATAGTTCAGGACACATAGAGTAGGCCTTTGTAGGCATGAAATAAACTTATATAATGAGGAAAAAACATAACAAAAATCAGGCCAAATTTTGGGGTGGTATTATTTACGTAGTCTAGGCCTAGAGAATCTTATCCTGGACGTCAGTCGTAATGCAATGAAGACTTCGTCCAACCTGGGCTAAGTTCTGGGGGTATCAGTAGTAGTAGTACTGTTAATCATGTTAATAATGATTGTTGACAGACACACTGAGTGGCTGTCTCTGTTTCGCGATTACTCTCGCCATATTATCACGAAATGAATGCAATTACGACAATTGCTATAACTTAAGCAACAACAACCAATTTGACCATGACCGATATCGTTCTGTCGACAGAGACACAATCTTCCGTTCAATCAAAGACAACATAAACCATATTTTTTTATCACAAAATACGTTTACGACGTCAACAATATGTTTCAAACTCACCCTGTGATGAAGGAAGAGTAAGCTCAGCCTAGCAGTTTGGGTGTTTTAGTTTCTTATTCCGCGTTGTTTCTCAAACTTCGCGAGCAACTTATCGTGGGCGCCGGGCAGACGATTATTGCGTGTGCATATCTTGTACACCGTATACCTGTACACACGTACGTACGTCCAGTACGATAACGCGGCGCCTCCTGTGATATGAAGTACGAGCGGCGTCTATACCCAACACTGGTAATGTTTCTTTTGTGAAGGTTTTCGTGTAGTTCGGGGCCGGGAGCCACTGACGTGATGCACATTGAGTTTGCGCAGTTCAATATATTTTACAACACATACTTCGTACTTCGTGTCATCATTTTTTTTGTCAAGAGAGGGCGGCATACAACTTTAATGATCCACGGTTCTGCGGTAATTAAGATGGCAAGCCGAGGCTTCGAAATAATTCCAAGCTAAATTCCAAGATCGCTGAACTACAAATCAAATTTAATAATTCAAGTAAGGGATTTTTTACTTACCGTTTTAACTATGAGTTGTTAATCAAAACAAAATCAAATTATAATTTAATTCAAAGAGTGTGTAATGCCTATACATATTCGGACATAATCAGGCCAGTATATTTATGTAGATTAATGAAAGGCGTTACATGAATCCTTTTCTTTTCACAGAAGTTAATTAATATAGTTACCCGTACTGTTTTATTTGTTGTCAAACTTGTCATTACGGTTGAATAGTTCCATAGTTCTAACCTTTGTGGGTTTGCGTAAAACGTAAACAGCGACCTCTTCCAGTGCTTCGCATATAAAGCGGGAGAGATTTAATAATTACGCAACATTCCCTACATAAAACAACAGCAAAAATATTTTAACCCCGAGGCCTTCGTAAATTCAAATAGTGATTGGGGGACCGGGGGGGGGGGGGGGTAGACACCATCTTCTCATGGGGGTGCGGTTTCAAATAATAAGTGAGGCTCTTCAGTTTCCACAGGACGTTGAAATAGACAGCCAATTGCGAAGAACACTGCTGGGGTTCTCTGAATTTCTGGAAACATTTAAAGAATACGGTTTAAAAAAAAGGAACTTTTAAAACAACTCACTTATAATGGCAAGTCATTCGGCATGCGTTTTTTCCAGTTGCCACATTTCCAGTGGGGGAGGGGGGGGGGGGGGGGGGGGGCTAGGCGACTGGTGGCGACGATTTTTCATGGTCTGAAATTTCGGGCTAGCTTCGGCTCAGAGTTATGACTGTAATAATTTCAACAGCTAATTACACGTCCAATCCAAGCATAGCAACTGTAACATTCGGACTGTCAACACATATTTAATATTTTTAAAGCAAAGAACAAAGAACCATATCAGTATATCGCGAAAGTGACAATTTGACAAATAACATCTCCCGAAGTGGAAGCCTTATTCAAACGAATCCGACGTTTGCAAAAATCCGAAGGTACGCGCATCACACTGTCCAATGCCCACGTACGTGCGCGGCGCACAGGTGTTACTGTTTTGTGAGAGGTATGCGAAATGAATGGAATCTGTTCTACTCTTCTGCACTGCACATGTGGTACCAACAGATTACGATTACAATGGAATGTCACGCTGAAGCCCGCCATTTTTTAAAGTTGTCTCGCCGTACGTGCACTGTCGCTGGAGCTGTTGTCATGGTTATTCTCTGCTGACTTGTGAGGTGGTTATGTCCGCCGTCAACCCAGTTTTAAAAACCTGAAAAACTGCGAGCCGGTCGTGAGTATTTAGCAGGGAATTAAGAATCGTATACCAACATGACCAAGGTTGCGATGGTGATGTGAATTCACAAAGCCCGGTATTCGCAATCGCATGCAAGGCATTACCAATCCTGTCGCGTAAACCGAGCGATCGTGAAGTGTAGGGCCCCTGATTGTTTCTCGAATGCAATGACACCATTTTGATACTTTTAAACAGTTTCTTGGGGTAGCAATTACGATTTTCCTACGTAGTTTACTGTCCAGTTAGTGCCGTGCAGCGCGACTGGCGCATTCACGATATATCACACCGTGATCGCCATCTGCATTTTGTCGTCATAGTCATTTTATCTCAAAATTTCCCTTGAAAATTCAAAACCCTGCCCTCTATCTATGACATACCTGTACATATGTCCCAACTAGCATGACTAGTTTGGTAGGTCAAAAAATTTTAAGTGGGTTTTATTCCCTTATATGAACTGGGCCCATAGATATGCAATCGCCGTTAACCATAGATCTAAGATTTCCAAACTTTAGGCTATGTAGGTGTTTAAACATTTTGGATGTTGAGCATGTTGAGGAAGTGACAAGCAAGTGGTTACTCACGTACGGCACAATAAGTGCATTTTATTCATGTTGAATCTCCAACATATTTAATTGGCCTGATCAAAGATTAATCTGATAATTGAACAATTATTATACCAAAAATAGGGCTGATGGCTTTCATGGACTTCATTCAATACTTGCAACATATATCTCTCTGTAATTATAGTCTCTATAGGGAGGGTGAAATAATTTTCTAAAGGAAATAATGCTGGGTTTATAGGGCCCAAAGAAATATTGATTTTGGTTCATATAAAACCTCCACTGTTGGGAATACAGTTTACTTGAAAAATTCCTTGGTTTGAATTCTTCTCCACTATCATGAAAAGATTATAACAAGACATGTTAATTTTATGGAAGAGAAAAAAATAATTCTCTCTGTTGAGGGAAACCTGGTTTTGTTTAAGACATTGATTGTTTGTATGGCAGTCCCATAATCCTAATATAAAAAAGAACCATATTGTATGATGTGTTATTGCATAGTTGAGGCAACATGTCCATCATGTTTTAATTTCAAAGTTTGAAGAATAGGCCTAAAGTAGGGAGTCAACAATGAAACCAACAAAGCTATAATTCTGGATTATTTGATTCGCTTCATGTTTTTACATCGATTGACAAATAAGAAGAGTTGCAGGCCAACTTGGAACCTGTTATCTTTTAAAATAATAAATGTTTCCTAGGCCGTCTGAAGTATTTGTCAGTTGTGGCCATATATCTAATAAGAACTTGAATGGAGTGTACATGCGGGAACAAATTCAGGATAAACATTTCCAGGATTCCGGATAGAAATAAACCCACGAATGATTTTAGTATTAAGGTTGATGCAATGGCAAGTTGTACTGTTATATGTTCATTTTATCAATTTCAATTTTTACTCCTTTTTTTGTCTTGTTTTTTTTTATCATGCTTTTATATGATCAGCTTGGATGTTTTTTTTTTTTTTTTAGTTTTAGTGAATTTTTATAAACTCGTTTTTTATAACTTATTCTTTTTTGTTGTTCTTTTTGTCTTGTCTTTGTTTATATTTTGTGAGGGCCCCAAATGGTCAGCTTCTGCTGGATGGGTTACCTTCATTAAAGATGGTTTGAAATAAATAATTAATGAAAGTGCTGTTCACTATGGGGTGTCAATGGGTACAATGAATTATTGAAAGTAAGCTGAAACAAGAAGCAGAGGGTGAAAATAAACAAAAATCCTCTTTGACAAAAGATGTTATCGTAAATGTAATTTAGCCAATTAAACTTTGCACATTAATTTACTTGTGCTTTTAACAAATTCAATAAATATAAAAAATCTGAAATCAAAAAAGTAATTTCATCCTTTGCAGGCTGAGTGTCAACATTAAACTGAAATCCACAGGCAAAAGGGGAACTATGTATTGGTGGAGTGAGGAAATTGATGTGACCAAATTTACACTTTTAAACTTTTAAAATGATTAAAAAATTCTAAATCTATCTGCAAATTTTTCCAAAACAGTACTTGATTACATTCAGGCTACAAAAAAAAGTTTATCTTTTTAATGATTTCAATGACGGCCCTCTTTTTATTGTGTTACTCTTTTTTATTGTGTCGATCACGTTGGTCTGTACAATGGGCAGTCGTCAGTCTTTGTGAAATGGCTAAACATTGATTGAAGTGGTTCTTAATATTTGCTAAACATTTTTTGGAAATAAAATGTCACATCCTTAGAAGACATTGGAGGAGGAGGTCTAAGTAATTGGAGGAGGAAGGGAACCGGAGGTCTGTGGATATTTGAGCTACTATGTACATGTAGAGGGCAACAGATGTCTCTGATGGTGATACTGAAGTTTTGTGGAACTATCGTCTGTTTGCTGACCTTCATTGCTTGACAGACAGAGCATGGATGTAGCTGCTTGATACTCATGATGATGGTGTCCCTTTTGGTGAGTGCTGGGTGTTCATTGATTTCCTGTAATTCTCCCCATCTGCCATGTGCTCTGTGTTTGTGCTGTCTGGCGTTGAGTTCTCTTGCTGGTGTACCCAGTGTACACCTTCTGCATTCCCAGGGGATGCATCAGGTTCGGTCTTGGAGGCTTGCTTGTCCTGTGGGCGATTGTGGATCTTGTGGGTGTGGAAAGCCCGGATACCTTTGTCATTTAGGAAGTACTGGATGTGATGAGAACTGCCTTTGTTGGGCTGTGTAATAGGCGGGGTGAGCCTAGTGGGTTCGACCTTGGGTGTAGGGGACCCTTTGGTAGGTGAAAGACTTTGGATCTTGCGTCTTGACTTGATGAGCCTTGAATCTGTTGTGTTGTAGTGCTGTCTTGGCATGGTAAAGTTGTTGCCGGCCAGGATTGTGGTTGCCGATGCAGGCTTCCCAGACAAGGTTGCTCTTTGACTGATGTTTGGATTTCCGGGTGCAGGAAGGATTGGTTGTCGATGTTGCCAGTCAATGTCTGTCAGTCATCTCTAATAGACTCAGGGGTCGAGGGTGTTGTCAGACTGTTTTGAGACCTTAGCATCCAGGGATGAGATTCACGAGGCGCCTGATCCTTGCTGCACCAGATGCTGCTGTATATCCAGTTGAAGTCTTTCAGGACCTGCTGGAGGTCCCATGCTGCATGATGAAGCGATGAGAGTCTCATCCGTGTACTGAAGACAAACTCTTGGTCTCAGATCTACGAAGGCAGTACTCCTATATGAAGGCATTGACTAAAACTGGGGATAGAGTTGATCCTGTGGAAGTTCCAGAAGGCTGCTTGAACAACTGGCTGTTCACTGGAAGAAAGACAGCAGGATGTAGGTGGGTCGGAGATCATGAACCTGGTTTGGAGTGTGGGGATTCATATTTCTGCAGGGCGTAGTCAAGTCGGAGTCCCCCTTGGCACCGAGGCATGCTTAGCCTGTGGGGATGGCAGTGAATATCTGGTAGCCTTCATCGGGGTTGACCATGGTGTCGTTGGGAACACTGTG